CATGCTCAGCTTGGTGTGTATTGCTAGAAAGTTTTTTTTTTTTTTTATTGTGAGAGTGCATGTGGTTATCACAAAGCCAATCTGCACTGTCCAGAGGTCAGGGGTTCTGCATCCACCTAGAGCAGAATGAAAACTCCTCCTACAAGCTTTAATCAGTGCTCTGCTGGATACTGATAGAAGTCACAAGACTGCTCTAATTGCTGATGAGAAATGGTATTTAGCAGTTTCTATTTACTAAAATAATTGCACTTCCATGTTCTGTGTACTGTGTGAGACCACATATAGCGAATGCAGGGCCTGGGTTTAGTAACACTTTAAATTGGGCCACATTCCTGCACTAAAGATACTAGAAGACTAGTCAAGTATATGGGGATTCCTGGTCGAGGCACGGCCAGCCCTTGAGAAGTAAACACTGGAGAAGGCAGCTACTGTCAGGTATAGGTAAGTGAGCAATTGGATGGTAGTATCTAGGTTAGATTATGTTAGGGGGCTAGGGTTGTTGGGCTTACAGGTTTTAGTTAGAAAGTGAACTAGTCTTTAAAGCACTATTAAACCCAAAAGCAAACATTTATTATGTTGCAGCTTACCAAGTCTTTGATGCGATGGCTGCATTCCTTTTTTTTTAGGCTCTTTCCTTTATTTTCACATGGGCAGTAAGTATGTCGTTTTTCAACAGAACAAGCTGTTCTGCAGAATTATCAGTTACAGGATTGAGATAAACCATTTCATACAGACAGGCGTGCTTACAATAGTCAGCTTCTATTTATGTAAAACCTTTATTCCAAAATAAAACAGTTGCTTTAAAACTGCTTATAAAGCTGGCGTTTGGCTTCAATTTGTTAGTGTATCTAAATTTGCTAGTACACCCAACACTCCCCTCCCCACAGACTGACAATGCTGCTGTCCAAAGGTGCCCCCTTTGCTCCTTCATCTAAAGTGGGGGCACTCTAATACAAGGTGGTCTGTTACTGGCCAGATCACCAGGTGAAAACAGAGGTGGAAAAAGCCTAAAGTAAGAAAACTGATGCAGCCACTACATCTAATGATTAAGTCGCAATATAATACATATTTTATTTTGGGTTTTATAACACTTGAAAGTAAGCCATTTGAAACCAGCAACTCAAGTTAAGATGATAAAAAAAGGCACAAGCAAAAATTTACCTCCAGTGAAAACAGATCTTTTTAAAGTTCTATGCAAATTCTGATTTTCCTGTAAAAGTCGAGCATACCCGGCCTCATTCCACTTACCTATGACATAAAAGGATCAGAGAAGCAAAGCTTGTCCTTTACGGTATGGGTCAAAATTTACATCTATATTCAGCTGTCTGCAACTCTGTATATCCTGATAGTTTTGACATCGATTTTCACTGAAGGTAGTCTCTGCTTTTGTATTTTACCATTATATGCTCAGTTTGAATTGCCTAAATATGTGACAGGTTTAACTTTAAGCATCTGGGGATGGATTTTTACACTGTGGAAAATAGCCAGTCAAGGAACATGCAGTATGATCACCAAGTTAGGAACAATGTTGTTATATTGAGGCTAGTGTCAAAAGGGGCTGCTCAGTAAATGCCCCTAATGTACCAAGAACTCCTAAGGTATGAATACCTATATGTCAAAAGTTTTATATATTTCTTCACTCGATCATACCCCTTGTACCTGAACCAGCTTCTATTCCAAAGTTTGATGCTTATAACTAAAGGCAAACTTTTTTTTTTTTTATGTTTTGGGTAACGAGGGGGATAAGAAAATCTGTCAGGTTTTTATTGCTGTCTGGACCCCTGTTGAGAAGAAGATTTGCCCTCTCTATTAGTCCTGTTTACCATTATCAACAGAAGTCAAAGTAAAGAAAAAAATCATAAATTTTGGATTGACCCCGGAACAAGACAGTGAAGATATTGTCCAACGGGGATGCTAGTTCTGATTACCCTGGTGACATATCAGGATTCCCTCACTTTGGAGGGATTTTCTCTCACTTCCTGTTTTGACTATGGAACAAGAAGTGAAGGGCTATCCGCCAAATGGGACATAGATGGCAAAAATAAACCTTACAGGGGTTGTAACCCTTCCATACTCTATCCAAAAATAAAAAAAGTTTCGCTTTTTTGCCTATTTCTACTTTAAGGTATAGCAGGAGGCAGGTAAGCCAAATTCATAGCGTCTCCCAAAAGAATACATAATTAGAAGGGATCTTACAGACATATACTATAGAGGATACTTGATCTACAACATCAAAATCCCAAATCTTGATAAAACTGGTTTACAATAGAAGTGAACAAGAGGCTAAAACTTTCTGTATAGAGATAAATGCATGTTATCTTCAAGATAACAAGATGTATGTTTAACTTTATACAAACTGGGTTGTAAAAAGCTTATCTGCTTTAAAATAATGGGCAAGGGTTTTCATTTATATATGCCAACTCCAAACATTAAGAAAATACCCAGAGAAACCAGACAGAAGGTGACCTCAAATATTGCAACAAAAATATAAACAATATTATGTAACAAAGGTTCTAACAATAGTTAACAAAAATGATACAGCACTGTCACTTAGATAAAATAAATATTTCTGCATCTTATAAAGTCAATTAAAGAGTCTGATTATCTACTGTTCAATAGTAAAATAAAAAAAAAAAAATCTTCAGCTTTCCAAATATAAAAATATTTAATTTTTGTTTTTATTTGCTGTGGTGCCAGCTTACTTTAGTTCTTACCCAGTTCTGCCTTGGACTGAAATGGTTATTTAGGTGTTCCTAAATTCCTATGATCTTTTGAGTCCATTATGTCTCTTAATACAATAAAAATCCAGTGTACGATCTTATTATTTTACCATGCATTTACAAAAACAGGGGCATCATGTCACTGCTGTGTGCTAGAACACAGTGCTTATTGCTTTACAATGCAACAGGCTTGCTGCACATCTAATATTGCTTTAAGGAACTGCTTTGCCCCAGTAAAACAAGGGACTGGGGTTAGGAAGGCATGATGTTGCTCTAGTCTACACAGCACGTTTGCACAGTATGGGGGGAAACTGACTTATCTCAACTTTATCTACCAGCATCAGCAAGGGATGTTCTGTCACAAGGCTTTCAAGTGGATTTTAATACATTGATTTTGGGTACAGTCCTGTCCGCAAAGACAGGCTGACCTCTAAAGTGCAAGAACAGGTACACCAGACTAGTGTGGGCAGTAAAAGGAAACTACAGTAGAATCTTGTGAAAGAACTACAGACAGGTTTGCTTTAGGCAGAACTAGGAGCAAAGCAGAGTAATGGAATGTGCTGGCACCAGTGGTTTCATGATAGATAGATAAATGGTATTCTAGAACACACTTCATAGTAAATGACAATGGGGAAACAATAGGCTTCCAAAATAAGAACACATTTAGGGACCGACTCGTAAAGCACACTGTGCCTCTTTCATGCTTGCCTGTACTTTCACATCTGCCACTGCTACGTACTATTTATAAATGTTCGCTGGATCATAAATAGAAGTAGTGCAGGGAGCCCAATCAGTGCAAAGACCAATTGATCCCTACAGCAGTGCATACAAGTAGGTGTACACAGCGCATGAAAATTACAGACAATTCCATTAAAAGGAATCATACTAGAAAAGGGAGGACAAATCCCTCCAATGTACACAAGAACTCTGAGCAGCAGACACGGGAGGAGGGGGGGGGAGGTTATGACCAATAGTTACAAGAAATGGAAATTCCAGCGTTATAGAAACCTTTAAATGCTGGAAGCTGCCAGCCAAACTGGAGAATAAGTAGCATTCTACTAGTTTCTGAAAACATTCTAAATATATACTTCTTAGAACAAACATTGAGGGCAAGATATTAAATACCAGAAGCAAATGGCCTGTACATAAAGGACGGTGATAAATACATTTACAATATACATAAAAACAAAGGATGCTGCATCAATTCTCCACCACTTCATCAATGATCAAGTTAGGAAAAATGGTAGTGAGTGTCCTCTGGAAACCCTGTAGTGCTTGAGGCCTATGAAAATCAGGAGGAACAATGCAGATTACATGATACCTCTTAGCCTAAAAACAAGGAAAGGGAGACACGAAGGATAAGGAAGCCAATGGCATGGAGGAGGTAGTGCCAAAGAAGGAGGATGACAAAATAATGGTTTGTACAACAAACAGCAATAACCGATGGAAGCAGCAAACTGAACAAGAGGTGGGTGATGGCTGACAAGTCCTGCCCAGGACATACAGAGATACGGTTTGTCAGGGCTTGTCCCCAGATTACTGGCCATATAACAACACACCTGTAGAGAAGCTATAGAGCAGATACCTCATCTATGGTCCTAAAAATGCACAAATTGACTATTGCTATTAAATACATCCTGTTGAAATTGAACAATGATAGTAAGAAGAGTGTGAGCTTAGATATGTGTTAAGTGGGAATTCGGCCATGTGACAAATATGTACAAGTGACTATAATGTTTCTGTAAAAAACTGAAAATATGCCCATTTGTATGTCTAAATTAGGTATAAATATATGCATTAAGCACATAATCTTCATAACATACCAAGAATGGAAAACGTGCACTTTTCAGTTGCATTATGCAAGTTCAGTAGGCATGAAACATGTTTGTATACATGCCAATTGACACACACTAGGCACATCATCAGAAATGGGTCATGTTTGGTCTGATATAGAGAAGGTACTGTACATATAGAGGAATGGAGGTGAACACAATGATCATCTGATTGGCCAGCCATTCTAAGATACAGAGGAGGCAAGACTGACCTTGCAAAAGTCAAAAGACAGTTGTTAAAGAACAACAGGGATTCAGACCCGCTGGATGAACTGGGTTAGATGGAAGAGGGTGCTGGATAATGAGAAGAAACCTCTGTGTTGCCAATATTTCCATTCAAAGTGGAGTGCAGGGCCTTGAAAAATAACAGACGACAGAAGAGCTGAACCCGTTTTCTGTGTTGCAGAGATGCAGGAATAATGTCAATTTAAGAATTGGGGACTAGGTCTCAAAGGGAATTGTTTTCACGTTCTTGATTAAATTCCTCCCAGCGGCTTTCATAGAATTTCTTCAGGATTAATCCAGCCTTCCCTACTTCAGAGTCATCTTCATTAAACAGTTGGCAGTTGCTGAAGACAAGTTCAGCATCTTCTGCAAATTCCTCAAAACTGGAATACCTGTCGGACAGAGAGAACTACAGCTAAATGCAAATTCAATTATATCGAACATTTTAGCATGGGTAGATAAATCCAGAAATACATAACATTTTTTTAAATATATGATATTAATGTACTAAAGTAGCTCCTTAATCCTTATAGCTCTCCAGCTATCTACCAACCACTTATTATAATATAATTCACTGTTGGATTTTATTTATATTACACTGGGGTCACTACAGCAAAAAAATCAGGACCCATTGATTTTTCAAAAGTGTATATCCTGGTACTGTGGTAGGGATATTTCCATTGCTACTGTCTTCCTACTGGCTTCCTACATCTGTCTGTCCCAGACAGATGTAGGAAGCCAATAAAAGATATAACCCACTAGCAGTTAGCAATATCTTAAATGGAAATTTTGAGTGGACTGACCAACAAAGTGTATCTAAACACTAAAATGTAAAATATAGCAGCTACCAGTCTTTAGAAGTGGTGTCTACATATAATTTTCACCTGGTGAGCCTGCCAGTAAAACACGCACTGTCGTAGGACGACAGCACTCCCTGACACTTGATTTTTTTGGCAGGATCAACAGATATTGTTCTATACTTACTGAAAATGTTCTTACCCTGTCCTTTACCAGAGATACACAGGTCAATTCACAAATCAGATAAACCAGTGAATTGCAGATTTTTTTTTTAATTGCACCTAAACATATTCAGTGTCATTCTGCAGAGAATCATACACGACATGAATTTTGATTATCTGACTTGCTGAACTTCATAATTCTCTACAGATGTAGATCACACTACATGGAAATATTTACGTGAATAAATAATCTGAACAGAACCAGGAGAATCACAAAGATCTGCTTGATCCACAGAGATTTGTATGGTCCAAGCACTCTATGTGTGGGGATTGTAGGATTTGTTTTTGATGGGATAAATCATATTAAGAAAAAGAAACATAAAAGAAAAAAAATTGCGTTTCTTACAGTTTACAAATTGATTCATTACTCCCTAAGGAAGCTCCTTATTTCACCCACTTTTGGGAAAGTTCCCTTACTAAACCCAGTGAAAAATTCACAAAGCTGTATGGCCTATCCCACAAACTTACCGTCCGTTCAGCAACTTGTTCCTCATGGTAGAAAAGTCCATAGGGTTTTTGATAATTTTTCTGTAGCCAGGCACAAGCCGTGGGTTCACAGGCTCTAGAAAGGGCCATGCGTCATCATGCGACTCCATCTCCATTAAAATGATTCTGAAATACAAACATTCAGCATTATTCACCTATCCACGCTATAGTTAACTCTAGGGTTTTACATCTAAAGCAAACAATTATATACCCCGTACTTTGCAAATACCTATTTGCTTGAGCTGGATAATCCTGTCAGAAATTCTGAGCTGCTCTGGACACTGTTATCTCAAATAATGTAATCAGAATGTGTGTTAGGATTACAGATTTTATGGATATAAAGGAGACTGGGAGGCGTTCTGTAGTACTAACATGACTCCCTGTCCTACAGGCACAACACTGCCCCTCCACTGATTCAGTACAGCAAGTACTGTCAGCCTAGGACAGGAAGTATGTTACTGGCAGGATCACCTGATGCAAATAAAAAGGGAAAAAATTTAAAAGAAAGCTAAAGCAGCCGTCATATTTTAGGAATGGTAAACTGCAAATAGATTACAATTTTGTTCCTGGGATTACTACATTTTCTTATTATTGTTCCAAATACTTTGTTAGAGTAAGGAACAGATTAGTGTTGTGCAAATGAGTTTTATTTTATGCTTCTAGGCCTTCTCTTTTCTCACATTATGGCATGTGTACCTAAACATTTGCTCAGGTCAGAACAGCTTTTCTCCCAATACATGTCAATAGGAATGCATGGGCAGATCAAAAGCAGTTTGAAGCACCTTGCCATCAGGTTAGAAGGTGGTCAAGAGCAGCTGTGATGGAAGTCTGCGCCAATCAACTGACCTCAATGAAAGCTGAACGCAAGAAAGAATGCAGCATTTTACTACACAAGCATTAGGCTACTCATATGAATATTTAAAAATGGAGATATCTGGCTTGTTGAACTTGGCAGAAAGATTTCCATTACATTCAGTGCTACTTTACCCAAGCATATAAATGTCCAAATGCACAATTGTTTCGTAAACCAATATAAATCCACAGAAAACATGACAAGAAAATAGCAGATAAACTTTATAGAACATAATAAATAGGGCACTTACTCGCAGAAGGTTAAATCAGGACTCTGACTTCTTGTCCCAATTTTCCGTTTCTTCACAAGGGAGCTCTCTGCTGGGGACTGTGGCGTGGCAGGTGTTTCTCTTCGACGCGACTGCTTTATAGGACTGTCATCTTGATAACGCTGCACACTCTTTTTGATCCGTCGTGAAGAACCACTGGGTTTTAGATACTCACTTTCACTTTGCTGAAGAAAGAAGTGCAGAGCAAATAAGACATCTGAACTCCTTGTTAAAAAAAAAAAAAAAAAAAAAAAAAAGGAACTCCAACCAAGAAACTCTAAAAGGCACATGCAACCGATATTGCCTCTGAAAAAAAGGTGCAATCAGCCCGTATCTGTTCACTCCTTATAACACATAAACGTAAAAAAACTACAATTATTTCAATAAGCCATTTCCATTCCACTTTCTCATAGATGCCTGAATTATGTTACCCAGCAAGTGCCCAAAAGACGACAAAAAAACCCAAAAACAAACACTCTCAAAAGTGCAGATATATAGAACAAGCATGTACCCTTGAAAGAGTTGAGTCCCACATGCTGTTTTAAATAGGTGCTGCAATCACCCCTTAGTGGCTTTGCAGGTATCGAGAGGCGCAATGCTTGAACCACCAGCTGTTAGTGACGGCTACAGTGCAACACATGAGCAAAGGAATGGGAGAAATAACAGGATTTTTGTATTCACTGTAAAATAATTTTGTTGGAGTCCATTGGGGGTCACAGGTAGTCTTTAACCTTTGCGTAATCCTGCTGATTAACCACTTGCCTACCGGGCACTTATACCTCCTTCCTTACCAGGCCAATTTTCAGCTTTTAGCGGTCACACTTTGAATGACAATTGCGCGGTCATGCAACATTATACCCATATGAAATTTTTATCATTTTTTTCTCACAAATAGAGCTTTCTTTTGGTGGTAGTTATTTGTCACTGGGTGTTTTACTTTTTGCTCTATAAACAAAAAAGAGCAAAAAATTTGAAAAAAAAAAAAAAAAAGTTTCTTTGTTTCTATTATAAAATTTTGCAGTTAATTTTTCTCCTTTACTGATCTGCATCAATGAGGCTGCACTGATGGGCACTCATAGGCAGCACTAATGAGGTGGCACTGATAGTTGGCACTGGTGGGCACTGACTGGCGCAACTGCTGGGCACTGACTGGCGGCACTGCTGGGCACCGATCATCAGTGCCCTGATGATCGGTCCGATCCCTACTCTGACAACTGCCGGTTCTCGACAGTACTTTCCTCATGCTCTGACAGTGTGAGGAAAGTGAAGCTGATAACTGGCAAGTGCATTTCCCGGTGATCAGCGTGTCATTGGACACGGCTGATCACGTGGTAAAAGGCTGCTGTGATTGGCCTTTTACCACATCACGTGATCAGCTGTATCCGTAGGACGCAGCTATCATGGAGATCGCCGGGGGCACACAGGAGAGCGCGTTCTGGGAGGACATCATAGGAAAGCATGATCAAAAACACAGAGTGGCAAGATTTGTGTCTCTCAATGGACTCCAAGAAAAAGTATTTTACTATAAAAATCCTGTTTTCTTTTCATTGAGTTGCAAAAGAAGACTAAGCCCCCAGTCACATCAAGCCCAACTTTGAAATCATGCTTCACTGTAAGTCGCACAATTTCAAAGTCGGGGGACCCGCATATTTCAGGTGCAATTTGCAAGACATTGCTACAGATGTCTATGCAAATCGCACCAAAAGCAGTTCAGGTACAACTTTTGAAATCGTGTGGCTCCGACAAAGTCAGAACCGCACCGATATGACCGCTCCAACTGAGGACAATAGGGTGCGACATGGCATGCGATTTGCAAGTCACAGGACATGCAAATCGCATGCCAAGTCGCACCGATGTGAACGGAGTGTAAGGGTAGATTCACACCAGGTGCAGTGGAATTGCGTGGAGTGGTTACTCCAGTGCAGTCCCACTGCTCCCACACCGGAAGACAAGGAAAAATGCCTGATCTCTGGTGTGGTTGGTTCACACCACTGCATTGCTGTGGTCTGTGGGTGGTGTGCAGTACTTTTTTCCAGTGCAGTGCATTCACCGCGTGCCGTCCAAAAGAATTTAATGAAATGTCGCTGTGCAACATTTTAGTAAAGTTTGCTAAAAAAAAAAAAAAAAAAAGTGAAATTGCAATGTACCAGGATCAGAGCTTCAGCACTGCCTTCATTGCAATGCATACCAACTGCTTTGTTGCAATGCAGCGGCCAGTGTGATTGGTTTATCTGGGTTTGCACGCTTCGTTTTTCATTTGGCAGATGGGTTAAACGAAAAAAAACAAAAAACTGATCCCCCCCATCCACACAAAGGAGGAGTAGAAATCCTCCCTATTGTGCTATTGTATTCTGGCAGCAGGGACTCCACTGCTGTCAGAATACACCAATCAGCACTGCACCAAATGGGCTGCCGAAGCTGACAGAATAAAAGTTTTCAACAGTCCTATTCAACAGAAGGAAATCTACTGATCCATATTTGTCGAAACAGGGAGGGCCACACATGGATCGAATTTTTTCTGGTCCCCGCTTTAAATCTACAGGATTCTCAAAAGCAGTCAAACTGAGGGGGTGATCAAAATTGCAAGCATACAGGCCCAAGAAAACCGATAACTTGGCAACTACCTGTCTGAAAAAACCCCATGCCCAAAGCTGGCGTCAGATGAGGCCGCAATGTCCACCTAGTACAACTTAAACTCCAAGTTAGCAGAAAATCAGGTGACATCCTCGCAAATCTGGTTAAGTTGCTTCAAAAAGCCAATAAACACTATTCTGTCGGAGTATGCGGAGAGAGGAAAAGGGTGGAACCTGAACCTTGAGGTCATGAACTTGGACGATTGGCTGTCTGAGCCACCTAGAGACAGTGAAATGAAAAGATTACAAAAGGGAATCAGTCTTCCTGAAAGAAGCAATGGCTGAGATTATAGAATTTTATAAGCCGAGCCACATCTAGACAATGGAGGGACATTTCCTTTTGGTGAACTGAATCCATACAGAGGGACAGAAGACAATGTCCTGGTTGAGGTTAAAGGCAGAAACTACCTTTAGCAAGATGGAAGCCCTGGGCTTCAACTCCATCTTGTCCCTATGTAAAATCAAAAGGAGATCTTGCAGGTAGAAGAAGAGTAAAAAATGTCTCTAATGGGTTGAAACTAGGGATGCACTGATGCCGATACCAAGTATTTTTATGAGTACTGATGAAAATACTCCTGATACCTGAACCGATACTTTGAATTGCGATTTGCGTTAATGGACGCAAATTATACCACAAAAATTAGCCTGTGATTTGAACAGGAATGCGATTCCTGTCTAAACCACATGTGGGTTTCCCCACTGCTCCTGTGTGAACCCAGGCTTGTCATAGCCCAAACAGATGCCATGTAGCCCGAACTATCATCTCTGCAAGGAGGGGAAAGAAAGCGGTCGAAATTTTAAATCCCTGCCACTTTCTCTCCTCTCCTAACACTGACACTCAGCATGGGAAGCGTGCAGAAAGGTTTTCCGCACCGCTCCTGTGTGAACTCGGGCTATGATGGGTTCACACAGGAGCAGTGGGGAAACCGTGTGTAATATGGACAGGAATCACATTGCTGTTCGAATCACATGCTATTCTTTTGTGGTGCAATTTGTGTCCATTAATGCAAATCGCACCGCAAAGTATCAAAGTATCAGCGAGTACCTGACCTTAAGTATTGGTATTCGTATTCACCCATAACAAAACTGTATCGGTACATCCCTAGTTGAAACAGTGTTTTCTGAAGCAAAAAGAGAACCATACTCAAGATCCCACAGAGTCACAGGGTAAGGGACGGGGAGAGCCACTTAGGAGACCCACTGTACAAAATCTTAGAGTGAGAGGCCAATGGTCCCTGAAACAGAATAGAAAGGGAAGAAACCCGACTTCATACGGTTGAGAACAACATGCCACATTCCGTGTGCAGAATCAGAAACATGGTGATAAAGCAACATATAGACTCAGGGTAGGAGGCAAGGTCTCAAGTAATCATGAAAACTGGAGTTAGTCTTACTAGTAACTTATTCTAGTAGTCTTCCAGGACAGCCAATGAGATGTAGAGCTCACGGCACTGGGACAAGAAACACATTGCTACCAAAGAGTTAAAAAGAGGGACATACTGGTCCTCTTCTCAAAGCACGAGAAGCATCAGGCCTCGACCATTACAACCTTGGCAGACTGACGACACCAGAAATCTTAAACGACATAGTCGTGCGCTGGAGCGATTGTGGCATAAAAACAAATCCCAGCAAGCATTCACCCGATATATCTGCTTTCTTTACATACAATTCCTCCCTTCATGCTGCCAAACAAGCCTACTTTGTCACTCTCAATCATCCAATCCTCATGGTCTCTTCTCTACTTTTAACTCTACTTTCTCCACCTCCACCCAGTACCTCATTCACTGCTCACGAGATTGCAAATCATTTCAAAAACAAGATTGGACGCAATTCGTAGGGGCATCGCTACTGCACTGACATCCATCCCACTTAGCATACCTTATACTAAACCTCCCTCAACACTTTCCTCTTTTGACCTTGTTACTACAGAAGAGGTCACTAAGGTTTTCTCAGAAGCCCGTATCACTACCTGCCCCCCTCACAACTACTACGGTCACCCTCTTCTTCCATCCTATGCTCCCTCACTCACATCTTCAATCTTTCCCTCTCTATTGGTGCCTTCCCCTTCCGTCTAAAGCATGCGCACATCACTCCCATACTTAAAAAGCCCTCCCTGGTCCCCACCAACCTGAACAACTTACGACCCATCTCCCTGCTGCCATTTACCTCTAAACTCCTAGAAAGCTTAGTCTACAATTGCCTGAGCTCCTACCTCACCGACAACAACCTTCCTGACCCTTTACAGTCTGGCTTTCGCTCACTCCACTCCACTGAAACTGCCCTACTAAAACTCATTAATGATCAACTAACAGCTAAAACCAATGGCCACTACTCCATACTCTTACTACTTGACCTCTCTGCGGCTTTTGATACGGTTGACCATCCCCTCCTCCTCAAAAAACTCCACTCTCTTAGCCTCAGAGACTCTGCTCTCTCCTGGTTCTCCTCCTACCTATCGCAGCGCTCCTTCAGTGTTACCTATAACGCTGCCTCCTCCTCTTTCACTCCCTTTCTGTAGGAGTCCCTCAAGGTTCTGTCCTTGGACCCCCTTC